GTCGTCGGAGGAGGCGGAGGAGGGTTTGGGCTTGCGAGGGAGCTTGCCCAGGATCTGCTTGATCATAGTTCGGTTAGAGAGAGAAACCCTAACCCTAGATTTTGAATTGAGATTGGATCATGGTGAGTGAGATTTGGGGAGCGAATCTAGAGAGAGAGAGTCTAGGGATTTGGGAGAGTGTGGAGGTGACAGCGCCGACCAGTGAAGGGTACGGGAGAGAGGAGATGGCGCGTGAGGGGCGCGTGAGATATTTTCGGAAGGAGAGGAGAGGGACGCGTTTTACCTGTGGTTTGTTGGCGGGTTTGGATATTTGTTCTGGGGACTCCCGAACCTCGAAAAAAGGTTCGTGGCCATTGTGGCCGCAGTGGTAATACGGGTGAGAAAGAGCAAGGTTTCCGTCTTCGGATGATCAAACCCGTTCACATTTTTGAGGTAAAAATTTTTACAAAAACGTTCTGCGCTCTGAAAATTAAAGCAAACCCCGTAATTTTTCTGAAGTTGTAGCGAGCAAATACTCCATAACCTTATATTTGAAGTCTGATAAATTCATGTGAATAAGGCATGGGGCTTCAAACTTGGGCTTTAACCCATGCGTGCCATATTGTGGACTCTGAGACTTGTTCGACTCTCTCGAAATGTATTAAACACATGGAAAACATGTTAGCATGTTCCTCTGAGACTTGTTTGACTCTCTCGAAATATATTAAACACATGGAAAACATATTATAGATAGCACATTCCCCTCCGGCGCATAGGCAGGACGAGACGGCGGAGTTGTAGCAAGCGAGGTCAGTGGGGGCGGGGGAGAGGGAGCTGGAGGGCGGAGGAGGGGAGGAGAGGGGAATGGGAGAGGAGGAGGAGGAGGAGGATGTCGACGAGAAGGAGGAGGAGGAGGAGGAGGGAGAGAGGGGATGAAATATTTTTTTTTGATAATTTTGGGTATCAATTTAATAATTTTGGGAGATAAGGGGGTTAAAAACAAATTTTCTCGCCAGGATTTTAAGAAATGAGTCTTATTGTCAAAAAGGCCGAGCTTTAATGCATTGTTGTCGCCAGAGTTTTTTTAAATACCAAACTGGCAAAAGTGTTCATATAAATATACCAATTTGGTATTTTAGCCCTTTAGAATCTTATCCAAACATTTGATTCTAAAAGCAAACGTAAAAGAGAATAACATTGTAGATTATGTAGGACAATAAGATAGAGGAGCATTTAATGATATACATGGAAAACAACCTTCAAACAAATTCAACAAAACAAAGTATTGAAACTATTTTAAATCGTGAAAAAAGAAGTAAATGCTTCTATTAGATTTCAATATACCAAATTGAGGTCAATACCTACTTTTAGTTCATCAATGAAATAAAATAACTGTAATAATCTTTATATGCTTATATGACTTCCAAGCAGAGATCATCATTATGCGACTGGCATACCTTCTTGCTTTCTCTCATTCAACAATCTGTGAAATGACTCAATTCTGAGTACTGTGATTGTTGGTTCTAAATTGTACCAGATTAGATTTTGTTTTCATCCAACTACATTACAAAAGCTGCTCTATTGCCTCTCCATTATATTAATTGGCTGATGGAGAGACCCATATATGAAACTTGGGACTGAAGCCATCTGAACCAGATCAAGAATCAGGTGTAGCTTCAGCATAGAGGCACTCAGATAACTTCCTTCATCGAGTTGCTGCTGGCCCGAGCAAGAGGACATCTTTATGGTAAAATAGATCGACGAAATGGCCTTAATGACCCATCTTTAGATCAAACTTCTCCTCATCATAAGCATTGATACCCTTCATTTGCATAAACAAAACTCAGTCAGCAATTCAAGAATATATGACCTGGTTTCCTCTGATTTGTATCAGACTGCAGTTGCCATGAGCTCAGCTTCTGATTCCGTATCACTCTCAGTGATACTCTGTTCATCACTGCCTATATCTGCAGTATAAATCCTAGTCCCAGGATGAGGGAAACTCGAATTGGTGATAGGGACAAAACCGTTGACAGGTTCATCAGAAGGTTGATCTGGAATTGAAGTGAGAAATCGCTTCAGCTGAGGCCTGTGGCAAACAATACGGCCTTTATTCCAACCAGGAAAATGGAAGGATGAAGATATTTCGTCCCTTAGAAATGAATAAGCTGCTCTCACAACTGGCAGTCCCCTTGCCACTGTGCTCTTCTCCATTTCTCCCCGTCTGTTAATAAAAGAATGTTCAATGAGTTTCCGTTCTGTGGAGCTGAACAAACTTTTGGAAAATTCAGTCTAACGACAACAAATGAAATTATTATAAGTATGTGATAATATATTTATGAGCAAGTAGTGTGGGTTCTAGCTGATTATTACCCCTACACCCCTACTATTTCTCCTCCCAAAATCCAGTAGAGAATTCTACTCGTGTTTATTTGGATCAGAAAAAATAATTTCTTTTTTGTTTGATAGACACCAACACAACTACAGACACACATCCAGGACCCAAATTATGAACAAGATACCATCAGGAACCCTTCTAATTTTATACTCTAACATGCCTCCCCACAACGCCAACCCAGTCAGGTTGAGGGCCCTTTTGCAAGCAGAGGCCGTATTTTTTTATTTTTAAATCCACTTTAAAAATTTGTGGCGAATAAGATTTGAATCCACGTTGCTCTTATATCATGTCAAAGGACTCTGCCACTGCTCCAAAACTTTGGAGTTTTGGTGTAATGGCAGTATTCTATGACAGTTGGTAAAGCCGTTATTTGGGGAATGAGGAGGTCCAAAGTTCATTTATGAGAGAAAATCATAGCTTATGAATGAAACTATCAGCTATGAACAACTCAAGGAGTATAAATCTTCTCTTCTGATGAATATTGGGAATGACCATTCATTTGGCACCAGCAGATTGCAAGGATCAGAATATTACTGATTATTTCATAAAACCTATATCAATCAGTAGGTTGAGCAAGGGAAGGACTACAAATTGAAAGAAACAAAGGAAGTAATCAGAAGGACTTACACCACAACGGCAGCGACCAAATTGGGAAGATCTTCCCCTTTTTGATATTTTTCTTGTATTTCATTAAGCCACACTGATATGGCTGTAAGAGCTCCGCCCACTGACATGCTAACAAAAAGAATACAGTTATGGTGTTGGACACAATAGTGATATATCAATAAAGGGGAAATGGAATGTTGAGAACATGAAAGGATGTGTTACCGGTGAACATCCACAGACCACACAAGTCTGCTCTCACGAAATAGCTCTGGAAAGAGTCCACGCCTCGTTGCTTCGCGAAGCACATGAGCAGCCCGTGCTTTCTGCCTAAGCCACCAAAGTGAGTCTAGGAGAGCATTGTACAATCTCAAACCAAAACCGCAGCCTTCAGATTTATATCTGTCAAGGACATACTCGACCATTTGCCAGTTAGATTCATCGTCGTAATCCCCTTTAATCATCGAGCCGATCACCTGATGAGTGTTGGAAACCCTACTTGTTTTCATTTCTTCCAGTAGTTCATATGCCTTTTCCCATCTGCAAGGTAAGAGCAGTGCTAAAGTAAGTATTGCATATACAACAAGAAATGCCACTAGGGACCTAGAGAGAGGAGGGATGGAATGCTAAAAAATATCAGGTGGATTTACTGTAGAGTAAACTAAATGTAGGTGAAAAGGAAAAAAAATTTCCCTAGCTTCTGATATAGAAGAACTATCTGAAGAAATCAAATGAAAAAAATTGGACACAAAAGGTAGCAGTAATAATTTATATTCCATCATCTGAAACTACCATCATATCTTAAGCTACCAATTCATTTACAAACAACTAATAAACAGAGACTAACAAGAGCAACGGGAGAGGAACACCATTTTACAGGCTCAAAAGTGTGTCTGGACAAGGTCCTCCTTTTACCCTTCCAATCAATTATTCAGAAACATTAATGCATAACTGAAAGTTAGATTTGTCAGATTGCTACGGGTAAAGGTCTTGCTCGCTATCAATAAATCTCTCAGTAGAAGCACATCGTGGTATAATCAATGTGAGTTAAAACACAATAAAAAATTATTTAGTACTCAAACATGAAGAACTCTATTAGAGAAGTTAGTTTATGATAACTGTCATGAGATGTTCATACTTATGGAGTATTTTTTTCCTCTATTGCCACATTAATACACTGTGAGCTAACATTAACATTTGCGGTATAATATCAAAATGTGGACATTTAGGGGTCTAACATAAAAGAGTAAAGTGCACATAACCCCCCTCATCTATATCTCGAGTTGGATGAAACCCTCCTCAACTCATTTATTAGCAAACCCACCCCCACCCCCACCCCCACCCCCCCAAAAAAATGTAATAATAATAAGAAAGAGGGATGTTACTTACAATTCATCTTCCTAAAAATCAGTAGACCACCCTCAATTCGTTTATGAGCACAAAGCCTCCCTCAATTCATGAGATAGAGGATTGTTACTTGCAATTTATCTTTCAATAAATTGCATTTCACTGGTGCTAAGTGCTAGTAAATGACTTGAGGGGGATCTAGTGCAACTAACGCTATAGATAAGGGGGTTATGTGCAATTTACTCAATATAAAAAAGACCTAATATTTCTTATGTTCCTATTTTGGTCTATTTAAAACCCATTACAATAGTCTTCTTTTCGTTGGAGTTTATAAGTCACCAGATGACATACACATTTGTCTAGGGATAGAGCCCATGAAAAATACAAAAAATTGTTGAGGTCATACTCCATGTGATTGAAATTATCACAGTATCACTACACAAAACAATGGTATGTCCACCCTGAACTCAAAACAGCACAGGTTCTGAAGAAAAAAAAGGCTTCAAAGTTCTTTAGTTTTGTCATAAACTTCAAGCTTCAATACTTGATATATTCAATATGCTATTGATAAACATTACAAGTAGTTGCTATTAGCTTGCAATTCAAACTTATCTAAAGCCATATTGCTTCAGCCAAGATAAACAGATTCGCCCTGAAATATTATGAACCTAGTTAGAAAAATTAAAGTATACTCTTCAGGAGCACTTACCTGTCATTCTTAGCATACACCGATATCAACATGCAGTAAGCCACAATACTCGGCAAGACCCCAGCTGAAGCAATCTCTTGAAACAACTCCTTGCTCTCTTCAACTAACCCCGCTGCGCTATAAACCCCAAGAACTTCCTCAAGAGTCCTCACGTTTGGCTCACACCTCGACTTTTGCATATCCATATAAGCCTTCACAGCATCCTCATACTGCCCTCCCTGGCAATAAGCCTGTATCAGTCCATTAAATGAATCCTCATTCCTTTGAATCCCAACCCCATTCATCCGCGTCAATATCGCCTCTGCCTCCTTAAACAAACCCCCTCTCGCAAACGCAGACACAAGCGAATTATATGTATCAATTGTAGGAATACTACCAATCTCATGCATCGTATTGAAAGAAACAATCGCCTCCTCGTACAATGCAGCCTGACCAGAAGCCTCAACTAACCCTGTGTAAGCCATGGAGCTCGGAACCACTCCTTGAGCATTCATATGAGAGAGCACGGCCTTTGCGTCTCTATGAAGTCCGCCCTTTCCACAGGCAAACATTAGCCCTTCATATGTCTCCATATTCGGTTCTACATTCTCTTCTACCATATCCTGAAACAACATGACCACCTCCTTGAAATACCCTCCTTCGCCAAAAACCCTAATCAAGATATTGTATGTATCGGCGTCGGGTTCAGTATTCCCAACCTTCATCTCCAAAAACAGCTCCCTCACATCCTCATATCTCCCATTTTTACCATAAAGATTCAACAAGATACTATAAGTTGCAGCATTTGGGGTGCACCCAGCAGCCTGCATTTGCCTTAAAACTGAAATTGCCTCGGAAGCAGCATTGTTTCTAGCATGAGCCTCTATCAGCACATTATACGCCGCAGC